ATTTCGTATATACTATGATGATATCATACCATATCTTTTTTGCATCATAGATTTTAATTTTATACTTTGTGAGATCAGAATGTAAGTTAAAGCTAAGTTTTTCTTAATTAATGTAATGCCTCCTAATGATATATAATTTAAAATAGGGAAAATTTTATTTTAATACTCTGAATTTTGGATAATTTGAAGTTAATATCCGAACTTTTAAACGCATTTCCCTAAATCCTACCATGGTTACTAGACCTTCTTAACGACCTTACCTACTGATCTGAGTCAAAAATCCGAATCAGCGATGCTGTGGGTATATTAATTTGTTTAGATTGATTTAACCATTGCTCTCTACCTTCATTTTCGACTTTAGAGAATCGGATAAAGAAGTAGATTTTTAAAATCAAATTGGACAGGGAGCCGTTCTACATCTGGTTCCCGGGTCAAATGGTCAAATTGTTTTAACTGAATAAACAGCCCATTCTGATAAAAATTAATAAAAAAGTAAAAATGGTTAAAAATTATTGTTTGAATTGACGATTCAATCACGTCAGTCCGTAGTTCACTGATCAAATCAATGATTTTTTACTAAAAAACAGTTCTAGGCTGAAACAAAACCAATCAAGTGACTGATTCTCAAATTTTCCGGTCTGGTCCGATTGTGAAAACATTGCATGAAATATCTGTACATGCATGTCGACATACACTAAGACTTCCGCTACATTTGCCTACAGCGATCCATGGTCTAAAATATTCAATTTCTGAGCTCCTGGGAATAAGAAAGAGCAGAGCAGCGTTGTGAATTGGGATTAAGTCATGGTATAAAATATTCAATTTCTTAGTTCCACTGTACAATTTGGAGTAGGTATCAACTTGGAATTGATAGGACGAATATAAATGTTATAGGTGAAGCTGTTTATAATTTTGAATTGTTGTAGGTCTGCGGTTTAAATCAGAATTTTGAGATGGAGTATAGTCTAAACTCTACAAATCCCTAAATATGTATCATAAATTGAGTAAGATGATGATACCTTTGCACTCCACAGAGTTCAGATTTGTTCTGTTCGGGAATATGCACGCAGCTCGTACGCCATTAGTTTAGTTTATCAGCACAGCGACGGTATTTAATTTTAGGAGGATCAGTTAGAGTCCCCCTAAGAGCAGAACAGCTTCTCAGGCGTAGAACTTCTTAACTTGAATAACGTCCTTCAAGCTTAGGATGCTATTGGGCCGGTTGGCAATATTGGCCCACCTTCATCCGGCTCCGGGGCTTTTTTTTTTTTTTTCACCTGGACTCGTTTATACAAAAGTCAGTTCATATTTGGTAGGTTGGAACTTGATAACAATATAATTTAAACGTGTCCGGATTTCCTGCCCACAATTCTCCTCTACCCACACTCTATCCGCCTTGAATCGCAGCAACACATCGCCATTCGCCAGGGTAGAGAAAGGAGGGCAGCAAATCTGCTGGATTCAATTTAAAGTTAAACCAATTAAAGCCACCATTTAGTTAGTTAGGGACTAGGGGCGACTTGCCCAGTCTCACAAATATCTAATCCTGGGCCTTGATTTTTGTATGCAGGCCCAGGCCAGATCAGGTCTAAAAAATTATAAGTTGGGCCTAGATCTAGTTCTAGGTCCAGTCTAGCCCCCAACCAAGAAAGCCTGAAAGCCTAGCCTGGGCCCATGACTAATTTAAGTCTTCTATCCTGGGTGTTATAACATAGCAGCCTATGATCATCCCTAGAAAAGGCCTTATTATCATAAAGTTTTAGGTAAGTTTGAGAGTGCTTAAAAATAAGTACTTATTTTGGGCCGGTATCATACCAATAAGTACTTATTTGGGTTTTGAGAATAAGTTCAAGTCTAAATTTTAGACTTATTTTTAAGTGTTTATTTCTTCTGGCCTATCTTGACCTACCACATCATTTTAAAAATACTTATAGTATCTCTTTTTAGAATAAATGTTTTTTTTTTCACCAAATGCTCATAAGAACAAGCACTTGTTTTTAAACACTTATTTTTCAAATAAGCACTCCCAAACTTGGCCCTAATCCCAATTATGAGGCTGGCATTAGTTCAACAAATCTAGCCAATTTTATGATGGGTTGAGCATAGTCCTATATCCCCATAATAGAATTTGAAGTTGAGTAGCAATTTAGAGGTGTTTTGTAGTGTGGTTCAACCACACCACACCTACATAGGTGTTCTATAATGTATGGTGTGAGATGATACAAGAGTAATAGACTTCTTGACTTTTAAGCAAAATAAGTAATTCAAATGAAAAAATATAATTTAACCATGACTAATATGAATTCATATCATTTATCTACAAGAAAGTAATTAATAAAAAACTGCTTGATGAATTCAAAAAATTAATAATGATTAAAAAAAAGTAATATAAAAATATAAAACACTTACATAAAAGAACTAATATTACCATAAACAATTAAGAGAGGATAATATGAAAATATTAAAAATAATAAAAAGAAAGGGTTGAAACGATCAATTGGAGAAAATAAGGCTGCAATACATGCAATGGAAGGAAGAAGGGGTTGAGTGTGAAGCATGGGATAGCTGATAGGGAGTATGGTCCCCTGTGGGCATGGTTACAATCACGAGAAAATGTTGAAGTCGATATATTTGGGTGCATTATAGACCAAACCACGAGATAGTGGGTTTCGGCCCACACCATGCCATAACCGAACACTTTAATGTAGTGTGACGTGGTTCAAAACTTACGAAGATATTCCCAATACGAGACTATAAATGAAATTCGAACAGGCATAGCACTGACCAAAGCTGAAGTCAGAACTATCTCATGATTCCACTACACTACACTACTGCATAAGAAACAAACAAATACAATCACACGTAGAATTTACATGACATAGAATATCATGCCTTGGTGTGGGAAGGGAAGAGGTAATGGGAAAATAGGAAGTCGAAATGGAATTGACCTTCCAAAGTTCCAGCATATTTTTGGTAATAATCGAATGAGGGTCGAAAATACGAAGTCGGTGGATCTAAAAAATTGAATTATATCAATTTTATCATGTTTGAAATCTGAAGGGAGATTATTCTTATTACATGGATTTAAAATCTTAAACTCTTTCGAATTCGGACATTTTTGGGCTTGGATTTGAATTTTGGATCATCGGGATAACTAGTTTAGTTTGGTAGTAACTTTGCACTCTTACCAAGCAAATTTCTGTCGGTTCAACATTTGCACTTACCACATGGATCATCGGAACGAAGGCCCTACCATTCATTCCTCTAAATTAATGAGAAATTCCCACTTCACACAGGGCTGCGCGGTTGGGTTGGATTGAGGCCAGGGTTAACATAACTCTAACCCACTTCACACAGTTCACCAACTTGAGTTGAATCCAATACAATTTGTACTGAGTTTGATTTCAGGTTGAGTTGGTTTAGGCTTGGTCAGGTTTAAAAGAATTTATTAACATATTTTTATATAATTATTTTTTATTTAGTTTTATCATTCAACATAATAATATAATAAATTGAAATTATATGTATATAAATATATAATAAAAGTATTTTAATCATATTATTACAAAACATAGATGCTTGTTTTAATTGTAATGCAGGTCATAAAGTTAAATTCAAATATCATATAGGGTTTTCTGTAGATAAAGGCAACTTTTTGTCTTTAATATCAAAAAGATATAATGATTTTATATAGTAACTAAAATAGGGTAACTTTTTTAAAAAAATATCAAGAAAGGGCACTACTCGTCTTCCTCCTTTCGCTTTGTATTCGTAAGAGGTTAAAGTCAACAATGGAAAACGAAAACCTAAAAGTAAAGCTCTAAGGCCATGGTGGATGAGAAAACGGAAACTCAAAACAATGACAGGCTGGCCATACTGGAGCTCGCCAACATCATCAGCATCCCTCAATGCCATCGTCCGCCTCAAAGTCGTCGACGCCATCCAACAAGGTAGCTCCAACGTCCCTCTCTCTGTCTTCGAGATCTTAGCACGATATCCTCCCAACCGGCGATCCCAACAATGCTCTTTTTTGATATTATTTAAAAAAATTTATCTTATTTTAGTTATTATATAAAAATATTACTTTTTATTGATATTAAAGGTAAAAAGGTTACCTTTATCTGCTTAAACATATATATAATTAATGCTTGTTTGCACGTATGCATAAGAGTCCTTATACTAATATAAACAATATATTATTTATATATTCGAATAGATTTGGGGTGGATTAGGTTTGGCTAGGTTGAACCGGGCTTAGGTCGTGTTTGAACTACTCATGGCCTCAATCCAATTCCAAATGAATTTAGGTTTTTTAATAGATACTTAAATTTAAGTTAGGCCCAAATTTTTTCCCCTATACTCAGCCCAAAGCCCAAAAACTCAGGACCAGAGTCGAGTTCGGTCCGCCCAAATTGAAACCCCAGTGGGGTGGACCTTCACGTCCAAACCACCGTGTGAAAAATCGAACCCATTAATCATTTTCTCATTCTGTCTCTTTTTTCGTGAATAGAACTTCATAAATGAAGAAATTAGCAGACAGATATTACACCTAAACAAACAAAAAAAGGAAACCAGTATAGTAGTATCTCCYGTCTCCATTTATTTAATGGGGTTCTGTAAATATTTGGGAAATGGTTGAAATGCCCCCATCAATCCCCACTTCAGCAGAAAGGCAGGCGGTGGAGGCAAACTCCCACCCGACTAGGAAAGCTAATTTACTTGTTCAAACTTCGAAGACAACATTGTTGGCATTGCTCATTACTAGGGATTTCCGGTTTTTAATGCAGTCTTAATTCATCGAGAGTTCTCTGCAAAAATGGAAACAGCTGATGTTTATGTTATCATCTCTTCCTCATGTGGACCCCTATTCTACAGATGCATGCATGTCGAGATCCAGAGCTGTAACAGCTGTTCTCAACGATCACGAGAAGCTAATACCATGATAAGGTGACGCCTTACAGCTTCAAATTCTATATATAGTAGCTTCTCTTCTTATGAGAACATTCATGGCTGGATCCTGGATTGAGCACAGACAAGCAAATCAGTTGCATCATCGCCATTGATGCATCGCTTCGAAAGTGGGTTGTAATTTAAGGAAAAATACTCCTGGTGTAAGCAAACCGAAAAGGGCACCGTTGAGAACTCAAACCGAGGTGTCGCCTTATAAACAGCAAAAGCAACAAAAAAGTGACGTGCCCAACGGCCAAAAGTTTCTTCTTCTGTGCGCTTTCAGACGGCTCGGTTTCCGCAATATCCCACATTCAATTCTCTTACACGGCTCGGTCCCTCATGCCTGCACCACAGCAACAGGACTGGCCACCGCCTACTCCATTAATGACGGAGWTGAAGGAGAGGGAGTGGAGGTGTTTTCTATTTATCCCTTTCTAAAGGAAGGTTTCATTTCATGGTTGGTTTAGCTGAAGGGCCGAGAGTACGCGCTCATTGTAGCAAACCAGCAAAGTTGCCTCATTTTCTGAACTCTGAGGAGTGAGGAGCTCTGTTTTGAGTTTTGGGTTCTGCAGAAAAAGTGATATTGACATAATGAAGAATTCTGAGGCCTGGGTTTTGGTCATGGCGGTTGTTACAGCTTTGGTGCTCCTCCCCTTCGCCAGCACCTCGTCCTTCTCTGGTACTCTCTCTCTCTCTCTCTCTCTATGTTTCATGCAAATAGTTTCATGTTATTATGTGTGTTCTTTATAAATGTGAAGTTTTCTTGTTGTTCTACAAATACGGTGTTTTCAGTTTATTGGGTTGGAGTTGTTTTAGTCCTCGCTGCTGTATTTATTTACGATGTCTATGTTTCTTTTAGTTTTGTCAATGTCAAGCTATTTCTGAATTTTGTTTTTTCTTTACGCTAAGAGTACAAATACAAATATGAACAGTTTTAGGAAGTCGTTCTAGACCCAATTTGTGGCTTGAAAATTGCTTTGTTATTGAACTCACCTAAGTGGACAATTGCTTTAGTGAAGGCAATTTGATGATACACCTTTGTAGATTCTTTTATTAATTTACTTATCCTGCAATTGGAGTGACGAGAAGCCCATTCACAGTGGGCCTACCTTTACAAATACATAAGCTCTAGTAACCAGTTAGTAGTGCCATGCATCCTTGAGAAGGTAATTCAGTTGGTGACCCCAGTTTTGGGTGGTGGGGTTGGTAATGGAGGATATTTTCAGTGAGTCGACGAACCTGTTTATCAACCAAATAACCCTTGCAACAATCAAGCACAGCTATGAAATGAACGCACTACCCCTTTATGTTCTTGCATCAGTGGATAGGTTGAAAGAAAATCAGGTTTAACACATAAGGAGGATTTTATTTTTGATGAATCACATAAGGAGGATTGGCTTATGCCATTTTGCAGAGATGTCACCAATTTGGGTCAATGAAACTTCAATAGAAATTATTGATGTATCAGAAACAAATTGGCATCAATCCAGTGTAGTTTTTCTGCCTATTTGGATTGCACTTCACCAAGGAAAAAAAAGATTGCACTACAGCTTTGTTCTTAAACTCAATGATACTGTAATAGACATTCATTATATTACCCCTTTTGTTTAATGCTGTGAATCCACCAATTGAAATTTTATTTCTTTTATTTTTTAATGATAGTTGACATGTTTACTTTTATGTCTACTTTTGGAAGTTCAGAACCTTGCTCCCACCCAAGGGTTGGCTCATCTTACATTACATGCTCAGTTTTACTTCTGGTTGGTGGGATATTGTTCTGTCCTTTCTGTAAACATGAAGATGTAGGCATAGTTTCACAGTTAATGCGTTATTCTCTTAAAGCAAATATATTGGCATGCAAATTAACTAGACACTACTTACCTCCATTTTTTTCATCCTTACACAAATGATCTGTCCAATATTCGGTGGATCTTCAAAGCACACAAAATATATCAAAGAGATGCTTATGTTTTTCATCAAATTGTTTCAACACATAAATAAATTGTCTATAAAATGAATTAGGCTACTACTGGAAATACCATTATTGATTTCGTTATTGTTTATTACCTACAAAAAAAAAATCTTTTTTAGTTATTACCAAAAAAATCCATGGTTACTGTTTAAAATATCAATTTATATGCCATTAAATAAAACAGACTGGCGAAACAGGATTCATGTTGCCGACCCCATGTAGTTGGGAACTGATATGGAATACTGTTTAAAGTATTAAGTGCACACTGAGTTGCATTTGTATTTTATAAATATGCCTATTACAATGAACAACATATTTGTTCCCAAGGATTGCTAATCACTACGTTTTTTGGATACTGGAGTGATAACTAACAAAGTTGCATATTGCAGTTGCATCGGTAAGTTGGAATTCTATGGGTTATCCACCTTTATTTCTTTAATGGTTTATCTCACAATTTAACAATGGTCATGGCCCTTGATTGAGTAGAATGATGAAACCATGATTCCTTTGATCCCATATAGCAGGCACAAGGCTTTGTTGAGTGTAGTTGAGTTGGGCAGATACAACTTTTATATGTTGGTAGTCAGACTTCTTCTTTCTATCTTTATTGACTTGCTAAATATGTAATTGGAAACACCCACACTATATACCAGCCACCAGGTAAGAGTTAGCACTTATCAGTTCTGATTTCTGATTGAGACATGTCATATTTCTCTTATCTAAAACAGATCTACCCCTTATACACACAATAGACGACCACCTGATAATGGCACTATTACTATTTAGTCTTGGGAGAAAAATAAAAGAATCTGATTTTAATTTGTTATCAGTAAAATTGTTCCTTGATAGGGTGACGATATAGGGTTCAGTGATGTATCTATTGTACATTCCCATTGTACAGTCTCATGTTGTGCAGGAGCATTTTCTTTTTGCCAATTATTGAAATATTACTTTACCTTGTCTCAAAAAAAAAAATAAAAAATAAAAAATAAAAAATAAAACCATTCCTTGAGCTAGTTATAACATTGTAAACCAATTGAAGCATTTTAGGGTAAAAGACTTGGAATCTCTCTTAATGTTTCTCCTAAATACTAATACATCCTCTCTATTTTCAAATTGAACTAAGACCTCCCCTATGGGGTGACATAATCAGACAAAAACTTCCCTAACATTAGCCTTCCATCCAAATTGCTTTATATGTGACATCATGTGAGAGTTAATTTTTTATAAACCCAAAATTGCTCTTCATTGCCCCTTTTCTTGCATAGGAACAAATTCACTAGATTGAGGTCCCTTTGGTTACAGAGCAATTGATCAGAGTTTCTCCTTTTTGCATACAAACTGGGGAATTCAGAACACTGATCCCCTAGGTACCCACCAAGGCTGTTAGTCCATTCATAGTGTTTCACATATTCAGAAATGTGATAGAGGTCTGCACTTCCTGTATCGCTCAACTGGTTCTACAGATAGCATGCGATTAACGTGAATATCTGCTATCTGTGTATTGAAAGAGATTCAGAATACAAAACACCACTATTACCTATTCTGCCCAACCATTTGTACAAGTAGTTGATCAAGTGCAATGGATGTTTGCATGGCAGGAGTTCAGTACTAGATTCCTGTGTTTGGTATTCATAGATACTTTGAATTTAGATTTCTACCTTCTATACAAAGGTGGGATTTGAAGAAACAGTATACACTTTATATGGATCAACTTTATTAATTAACCATGAGGAACTGATAGAAGAACAATGGTAATGAATAGACGAATGATAGAAGAATAATGGTAATTAACCATGAGGAACTGATAGATTTCTTCCTCTTTTCCAATTCCACGAGGAACTTCTCACACCCCTTCCCATCATCTTCAACAGTCAAATGAGAATGCATTGAAGGCATGCAAGAGGGCCATTTGGGAGTAAAGGAGCCTAGAATCTCTACAAACAGTGGATTTTGATGGGTTTCACTTTTCTGTTGGTGATAATTTGTAGAGGAAATCTATAGACGGATAGTGGATTTGGGGATGATTTCTCAACTCGTTTCCTAGTTTTTCCAAAAAAAAAACACTGTTTTCCAGTTTGGTGGTTTTCTTTATAAATTTAAAGAACTTTGAAGGACAAAACGGTCTTTTCATTAATTCAGTTAAATATTGCACCACCTTATTCTGACAAGGGAGGTTTAAGTCCTGTGAGAAAAATGAGAGGGGAAGTGTAAGTATTTATGTTAAACCTTAGGGAAGGTTTAAGCCTCTTACCCTAATTTTTATTTATCATATTTTATGCTACAAACTGATGGCCATTTCTCAGTTTTGTGGTAAAATCTTGGGCTGGTATGTGTGAGAGTATGAATTGAAGTCTGAAGTCAACCATCTTGTAAGAAAAATGCTGGAGGTGAGGTCCATATCCAGTCGACCAATTCCCAGATTGTTAGGACCAGTATTGGGCAAGGACTTTTCTATGCCACAAAGTAGAAATTCTGCATTATGTTAATAAATTGCATGAAACTGCTAAACTTATATGTTATATATCCTTTCTTTCTCAAATATCAACTTTCTAAAATACTAAGTCTATTGTGGTTGCACTGAAATCCAGAGGTCTTCCAGAGTCACGAGGATGATATGTTGGGGATTGCAACTAACGGGAAACTGAAAGTAAGATGCTACTAGCTAGGTTAACAAAGATGGAAATTGATTCTTGCATTTTTTCAATATGCAACTTGGGAATTTTTGGCTGATCTCAATCCATTTTTTCTTTGTTCCTTATTTCTAGGATGATAACTATAGTCCAGACTATGGGAAAAAAAGAAACATKGGCAATTTGAACCTGGAAGATTATGGAATATTTGATCCACCTCCACATATTGGCAATGGGAAACTGAAGGTAAGATGCTACTAGCTAGGTTAACAAAGATGGAAATTGATTCTTGCATTTTTTCAATATGCAACTTGGGAATTTTTGGCTGATCTCAATCCATTTTTTCTTTGTTCCTTATTTCTAGGATGATAACTATAGTCCAGACTRTGGGAAAAAAAGAAACATKGGCAATTTGAACCTGGAAGATTATGGAATATTTGATCCACCTCCACATATTGGCAATGGGAAACTGAAGGTAAGATGCTACTAGCTAGGTTAACAAAGATGGAAATTGATTCTTATGCATGTTTTTCAATATGCAACTTGGGAATTTTTGACTGATCTCAATCTATTTTTTCTTTGTTCTTTATTTTTAGGTTGATAACTATGGGAGTAAAATGAGCATGGACAATTTGAACCTGGAAGATTATCATTCTGCTGATCCACCTCCAACGTCAAAGGTCACTATAAAATCAGGGCCCATTGAGCATGGAACTCCTCTTATTCCTTACATTCCAAAGCCGACGCCCCCAGGTCACCCAAAGCAAGGTGGATCTCCTTGACCTACTTAAGCATCTTGGACCCAGATTAGCTGGTTCTGTTCCACTTTGATGAATATGCTAAAACTAAATAATATATACAATTTGAACCCTTGTTTTATTAGCACGTTGTTTTGTATTGGTGAATAATGTAGAAACATATTATCTAAGAAATGTTAACACCTTGTTTTGTATTAATTACGTAACGTACCTAGTTTCTAAGAAATTAACCAAATATCTTTAGCAGGAAATCCTATACCATTTTGTTGGTGGATGTGCACATTTTTCAACACCTTGCAATTGCATGTTATCTTCACATCTCCATAATGTTTTATTTCCTCATGCATGGAACTGCATTAATCATCAGGTATTAGACTCAAATCTAATCTATTGTTCGTGTCCAAAAGTCCTCATGTGAAGTTAGGTGCTGAAATCTTTATTTTTACTATGATGGCCGTTCAAATTTGTTGGAATCCCAAAGCCAATGGATTAAGATAACGGTTGTACTTGCTTTTTGTCATGGTTTTTAAAACCGACTCGAAGACCAAGCCGGTCAGGGGTCCAGTTACCGGGTCAAACGGTCTGACCGTTCAAACTGAACGGTTGGCCTGTTCTGACAAAAAAATAAAAAAATAAAAAACGGTCAAAACCATTCAAACGGTTAACCACCTGGGTCAGCGGTTTGCTGACCAAAATCAATAGTTTTTGGAGAAAATCCGGTTTTGGTGAAAAATGGAATCGGTCACCTGACCGGTTCTCAGTTTTCTGGTCCGGTCTGGTTTTGAAAACCATGTTTTTTGTATTCATATAAAAAAGTCCTGTGTACAATGAGTTGCTGTACGTGTATAAAATTCATCTTTAAATACTCTGTGTATAGACAACCAATTTCTAACTTCCTCTACCACCAGATTAATCACCCTTGTTTCACACGATTATTTCTGATAAAAAATCTTATTGTTCCTCTCGTACCAAATGGCCACATAGTTGTTAATAGAACTGTTTTTTTTTTTTTTTTGATGAATGAATGGTATTTTTATTAAATGGAGATAAAAATAGTACACCCTAAGAGGAGGCACGAGATGTTAATTGTTTAGTTAGAGAATCTGCTATGGCAATGGCCGATCTGCTAGCCCACCGAGAATTAACTGATATAGTTCTTGTAAGTCATTTAACTTTTTTGAGGATATCCCTGTAGCCCCAAACAACAGTATTTGGGTCTGACAGCCATCCCACTACCAAGTTGGTTGGCAATTTGTAATTCCATTGGTCCTGAAAATAAGGAGAGCATGTTAATGTCCTTATTCCTCAAGATCTCTCCTATACTCGAAGGTCTTGGATTGCTTTGACTGCTCCCATCAAAATTTAACTTCACAACCCCGTTCGGAGGGATAGTCACCTTACTTGTAATTTATTTTATCTTATTTTATTTTGTATGAAGTGGCAGCCACTGCTGACCAGTTCCTTTAAAGATCATCATTAGAGTTATTTACAAAGAAATCAGTAGTTTTTAACCAAAGGATTGCTTGCCCTTGTCAATATACATTCATTTATTTCAGCATGACTTCTTCCCTCACCTTTCTTCCATCTCCCACTTTGAACTTTTTTATACCTTCTCTGAATTTGATAAAAACTTTGGAAATACCATTCCACACAGGATAGTAGAGAAATTCTTGTAACCCATCCATTACTGCTCAATCCATATTTCTTGGCTAAAATCATCCTCCATAAATTGGTGGGCTTCTTAGAGAATCTCCAAAACCACCTTCCTAGCAATTCCATATTGAATAGTCTGACCTTGCTGATTTCCAAACCACCATGGGACAATGATTTGTAGATCTGATCTCATTTCACCAAGTGATATTTGAGGGTATCCTTCTATCCTTCAGAAAATCATGATTTTCTGCTCAATCTTTTCTGCCACCTCTACAAGAATTAGAAAAATAGACATATAATAAGCAGGATGCCTCATAAACACACTTCTAACCGATGTCATTTCACCTCCTTTAAGGAGATGCCAAGATCAAACCAATTTTGTGCAAAAATGACCAAAAGGTTGGTCCACATCCAGACCACCTCTCCCAAGACCCCAGATAACAGGGACCAACACTGGATAATGGGTTTTTACTTGTTTTTAGCGCAGCAGTTTAGGTAATAATCTGCTTGTATATGAAGTAGCTATATCAAAGGATACAAGAATATATTACATAACATAGCTTTCCACTTCCTCAACTCACTAAGGGAGAGGTGGATAAACAGCCCCTTGTAAAAATGAATATCATTGTCTTCAATAAAATAATTGATAAAAAAACTGTTCTTAATAAAATAAGTCAAACTAAGGTCATGTTTGAGAGTGCTTAGAAATAAGTGCTTATTTGGGTCGGGACCACACCATTAAGCACTTATTGGTGTTTGGGAAATAAGTTTGAAATAAGTGCTTATTTTAAAAATAAGAGCTTTTTTTTATGCCCAAATTTTCAGTTTTTAAGTGCTTATACAATAAGCACTTGTTCAATTTTTTTCTTCCAAAATTGTCCCTAATTGAATTTTAAAATACCACTTATAAAACTATCCCTAGTTGAATTTTATAAAAGTACTTTTGTAATTGTAAAAGTGATTTTATAAAAGTATTTTTGTAACTGTAAAAGTGCTTTTATAAAAGTGTTTTCGTAAAAATACTTTTATAAAAATGTTTTCGTAAAAGTGATTTTATAAAAGTGCTTTCATAAAAGTGTTTTTATATAAATAATTTTGTAAAAGTACTTTTATAAAAGTGTTTTTATTAAAGTGCTTTCATAAAAATACTTTCGTAAAAGCGTTTTTGTAAAATTTGAAAGGATAAAATAGTCATAAATGCTTATTTAAATGTTTATTGGAGAAAAAAAGGCTACCAAACAGGGGTTTTCACGGTCCAGTTCCGTGCGATTTAGAGAAGATATCAGACCAAACCAGTAAATTACGGTTTGAGAAATTTTTAAACTGAACCAAACCGTTTTATTACGGTTTGGTGTGGTTTCTAATACTGTTTGGGGACTTTGGACCATTCTATGGTTCTTTTGGGCTTAACCCAATTAGAAAGCCCAAATGTCTCCCCTAAAAATTAAAACTTAAAACTTTTATTTATCATTTTAGACTCTTTAGTATAAAATAAAGAGTTCCTTATATATTTATAATTTTACGCATTCCATTTAGATATATTATATATAATGTTTATATATCATATATTCATATTATATATATGTACATAAAATTTTGGTTTACGGTTTATAATTTGGTTTATAAAATTCAATAAATCGAACTGAAACTGCAAATTATAATTTAGAAAATTATCAAACCGAACCAAACCGTTTATAGGTATAAACTGAACCAAACCACAAATTCAGTTTGGTTCGGTTCGATTCAGTTTTGCGGTTTGAACCGTATAATGAACACCCTTACTAATACCAAAGGCCCAATATGAAAGCACTTTGAAACGTTGGATGTCAAATGCAAATAAATGCTTATTGGAATAAGCATTTGTTTTTAAACACTTATTTTTATTTTTTAACATAGGCACCCCCGAACATATGGCCTAAGACGAAACGACAATGACACCAAAAGGAAAATTCTATAACACAGCTAAAAATGATGATAAGTGGGCACGACAGTAAAAAATACACACATTATTAAAGAGATGACTGCACCAGTGAGGAGTGACCTGGTTTGGTTTGAGAGTAGAAGTAAAGCTTGCTGTAAAGTGATTAAAACAATTTGATTTAAGGACTTGCAATTTGCTACAAAATATATACCTCTTGGTAGAGCACAATGGTAGGATAGGATAGCTAACCCTAAATAAATAAATAGTTGGGATTAAGGTTTCCCCAGTAAATAAAGAAGATGGTAGGAAATCAAAACATGGTTCCCTTAATGCCACCCATGTTGGAATTTTCGATCTTGAAACCTTTTCATGATTTAATTGCAATTTTTCTTGCTTCCCACAAAGTAGCATCAGGATTCAATTGCTACATGGCATCCAATCTTGTGATCTATATATGAATCTTTTTTCGCGTAGCATTCAATGCAAACGAAAGCTTCTGCACGTCTTACGCCACCAAAACTGACATCGCCATCCATATTCTATATTTGATATATTTCTCTGTGGTAAGATTAGGCCTGAATAGAATGTTCCAACTTGCAAAGAAAACTAAGACAATGACTCGATGTTCGAATTTATCCTAAAGAGTTGTACTATCCTTTGGCGTTTGTGGGAGGCAAGGAATGAGGTGATTTTCGGTTGCATGGATTGTTCTCCTGCGACTGAGAGGGTACTGGATATGGGCTCTATTACTTTTACTTGTGCAGTGAATGGCCTTTCGTCATATTTGGGGGTCGGTATGTGTTGGTGGTTGATTGCCCTAATCCTGATATCCTAGTTTGTGTTGATACTTGATGGTGCAACGAAGAACAGTGCTGTTGTTGAATGAGTTCATGAGTTTGGCTTCGGTCAGGGTAAAACCAGTTCAACTAGCTTTTACTGCTTTACGTTAAGAACATCTCTTTACTTGTGTGTTTTATTTCATGGGGAGATATCGCCAATGCAAGATTGCAAAGGGCTTTTAGAATGGTGTGGGCTCAGGTTTTTCTTGATGGAAGCCGATTTCAACACGCACCATTGAGGCACGGGCCATTTTTGAGGTCATGCAACGATATGAATTATTCGTTTATTAGTATGATTATTATATTATTGTATTTGTTATAAAGAGTTAATCGTTCTTAAAATGACTATTGAACTAAAAATTTTAAAAGATCTTTATGTTTCTAAAAGGCTATGTTAAGTTGTCAAGTTAAATGTTTTGAATTATCAAATTCAATCATCTGTTTTTCTTTACTTTACACAAAAAAAAAAGTTTTCCAAGCATTTTTTTATTGTTCTTAATTTGTTACAAAACTACTGAGATTTTCACCGCGAAACTTGCCATAATGAATTGAGATTTTTGCTAATATATCAAAAAATATGTGAAGCAATAGAGAAATATATTGAAAAATCCATTTTACCTCTGAGAAATGAGGAAATATTTGTGAGATTTCAGGATGATTCAGGTAAACAGTGAACTATGTTCAAGCCTATGTGATTAGGGGTGTCAATGGACTGGATTTGTGTTTGGCCCTCTGAATCAAAACCAATTTGAATGGATTGAACGGTCTAATAAGACATTAAATTGGAT